TGCAACGATGTTTAAAGGTAAATAAAGTAGTATATTTCTTATTTTAGTGTTAAAAATGTAAGCTTATTTTCAGATCTTGTTTCAAATAAAATGCCTGAAAAAGTGCTCGATTTATTTGATCAAATGAATATCCAACCTGATCAAGCTGTTTTCAATACTCTATTTAGTGCTTGTGCTCGTGTTGCTAATGATCGTGCTAAAGAAATTGGAAGAAAACTTCTTCAACAAATGCCTAAACATTTTTATAATGATCATGTTTTACTCACTTCAGCAATATATATGTTAATGAAGTTTGGTGATGTTGAAAATGCTGAAAATTTTTTCCAAACGATGAAGAAGAAAAATATCATTACATATGGTGCTATGATGAAAGGTAGGTTGGTAATGAGAATTTATCGGATATTGAATAAATTATATTTAGGATACGTGGAAAATAAAATGTATGATAAAGCATTAGATTTATTTGAACAAATACCATTTGCTCTTCAAAATACCAGTTATACTATTATTTTTAATGCCTGTGCACAACTTGCAAATGATCGTGCTAAAGAAATTGGAAGAAAACTTCTTCAACAAATGCCTAAACATTTTCATAATGATCATGTTTTACTTACTTCAGCAATATATATGTTAATGAAGTTTGGTGATATTGAAAATGCTGAAAATCTTTTCCAGATGATGAAGAAGAAAGATATCATTACATATGGTGCTATGATGAAAGGTAGGTCGGCGATGAGAATTTATCAGATATTGAATAAATTATATTTAGGATACGTGGAAAATAATATGAATGATAAAGCATTAGATTTATTTGAACAAATACCATTTGCTCTTCAAAATACCAGTTACACTATTATTTTTAATGCCTGTGCACAACTTGCAAATGATCGTGCTAAAGAAATTGGAAGAAAACTTCTTCAACAAATGCCTAAACATTTCCATAATAACAATGTTTTACTCACTTCAGCAATAGATATGTTAATGAAGTTTGGTGATATTGAAAATGCTGAAAATCTTTTTCAAATGATGAAGAAGAAAGATATCATTACATATGGTACTATGATGAAAGGTAGGTTGACGATAAGAATTTATTAGATATTGAATAAATTATATTTAGGATACGTGGAAAATAATATGAATGATAAAGCATTAGATTTATTTGAACAAATGCCATTGAATCCCAACAATGTGATTCATATCATCGTTTTCAATGCTTGTGCACAAATTTTGAATGATCGTGGTGAAGAAATTGGAAGAAAACTTCTTGATCAAATACCAAAACATTTTCATAATGACAATGCTTTACTCAATTCAGCAATAGATATGTTAATGAAGTTTGATGATGTTCAAAGTGCCGAGAAACTATTTCGAACGATCAAGAAAAAAAATATTGTGACATTTGGAGCTATGATGAATGGATATAATATAAATAATGAACCATTTAAATGTTTACAATTACTAGAAGAAATCAAGCAACATGGTTTCATACTCGATGAATGTGTATCAGCCATATTGATAAATGCATGTGCACGGCTTGGTGTGATTTCAACATGTCAATCAGTTATTGATCAAATTCCTTCATATTTATGT